CTGCGAAGGCCTCATCGGCGCACACTATCCCCCTGACAGGGGCTCGTCGGCGCACGCTATCCCCAATGTGCAGGGCAGCGCGTAATCAGCGGGCCAGCGCCGCCACATCGCACGCAATCTTTGCGGCACCAACCGCAATAAGCATCGGGTTCGTGCTATTCCAGGGACCCCTGCGTCCCGCTCACGAGACTCACTCAAGCTCGAGCTCGCTCACTCCCAGGGTTGCTCACACCCAGCCTCACTCCCGTTCAAGCTCGTCCAGACGCAAGATGACATCTCAGACTCGTGCTCAGCCGCGCCTGCTCCAATGTTTCACTTCCCCCTTCCCGTGCATTGCGGGGACCTCTCCACTGTGAAGCGACTCGCTCGTTGGGCGAGATGGACGTGACTCTTCCTTCTCAGCCCCATGAGCACTGGGCCGCATTCTCCTCGGGACGGCCAGGATGCGTGGGCCAGCGGTGCTCCGACGGCCTGTTCGCGCCCAGGCTGGTGGGACCCATCCAGCAAGACGCCCGCTTTGGAGGGTAATTCTTCTTGGGGGGGGGTAGGCGTGCCCTCTTGCTCTACAGAAGCCCAGGATCAAGTGCCCTCCAAGCCCTCAAAAGACCACCCAAAGAGGCTCAAATCCGTCAAAAACCTGTGGTAAATCGATGTGTTTTGCCTTCTCGCATTTTCGTTTCCGATGGGCTCTTGAGGCTTCAAGACGGCCCCAAGATGGCCCCAAGATGGCCCAAGAGAGCCCCGGGAGGGACCGGGCCCAAGAGGGCCCCAACAGGCCGAGGATCCCGGCGAGAAGACAGGCATCGCACATGAGATCCCCCCCCCCCTTCACCTACCCCCCCCCCCACCCCACCCCCCAAAAAAAGATACACCGCAGGACCCAACCAGCAACCACCAGCTAGGAGAAAAAAAGAGAGAGAGAGAGAGAGAGAAGAGCGAACATAAGACAGAAGAGAAGAGAGGAAAGAAGAGAGAGAAGAGGCGAGACGAGGAGAAGAGAGAAGGGTGGGCGAGGGAATATCAGAGAAGAGAAAGGAAAACAGAAGACATAGAAGAAGAGAGAAGAGAAGAGAGAAGAGAAGAGAGAAGAGACGGTATACTATAAGATAAAAGAGTAAAGCACAAAACATAACTTTGCACAAGACCATGCAAAGAAGGAGAGAGAGAAAGAGAGAGAGAGAGAAGAAAAAATAAAATCAAAAAAGAGAGAGAGAGAGAGGGAGAGAGAGAGAGGGGGGAAAAATAATGACAAGCTATGGGAAAGTATATCCTCAGGTAATATGAGAGAGACTGATATAAAACAATGCGTGGGATTGGGCATGGGACAAGACATGACCAGGTAAACTGCGTAAGATGAGACCATATATTGTAAGATGAGATACTAGACTACCATATAGTAGAAAGCAGGTACTGAAAAAGGTAAAAGCAAATAATATATATATATATATACATATATATAATACATTGGGAAAAGTTTAGAGAATAGACTATACCATGATTCACGTGAAAGATGACAAGCCACTAGAATAGCATATAACACAAGAGGAGGCCTGAAAAGAGAAGAGAAGACGAGAGGAGAAAAAAGAGAAGACAGGGATTGGAAAGTAAAGATCAGGCAAGGAGAGAGAGATAGAAGAAAACAAAAAAGGAGAGACGACGAAGAGAGAGAGCGAGAACCTTCCGGCCCACAGCGCGATGCACTCCGTCGCTGCCCCGAGAGACTCGGCACAGGTTTCCGAGTCCAGAGCGGCCAGACGGTCGGACCCAGGCCAGAACTTAATTGCCTTCCTGTCGTTGCCGATCTTTCACGCCTGGCGTTTTATATCTTCGACCGCTGGGACCCTCGCGGCCTTATCGGATCCGAGAGACGACACGGAAAAATGGGGTCGAGTGCTCCAGGCCTGAATTTTGACGATGGCGCGACTGCTTCCCTGTGATGGACCTCAGGGCACGGTCGGACCTAGGACAGAAAACACCAAAACACACTGAACATCCGAGTGTATCCTACCCCGGATGCACAAAACCATCCAACAAACACGAAGAACACCAGGGTACCCTCCCCGAAACGGCCTCGATCTTATACCTCGGTCCGACTGTACATCCGAGCAGAGACACCGCCAAACGGCACTGCGGTCCTACCTTCCAGACCGCAAACAGGACTTTTTTGTGCGCAACGGCACTGCCTGCCACGGCGACGCCCTTCCCATCGAGGGCAGAACAGTATGTGCTGGTCGCTGGCGCGAATGGCTGGCCACTTGCCGTGCTGCTCCCTCGGCCTGCCTTGCAATCGCAAACCAAAAAAAATGAACACATGAAGTCTGCACACCGGAATTGGGAAACGAAGGGGAGACTGCACAAACCCGATCCTGAACACGAGAGAGAACCCGAGGCGCGCGAGACACACCACGAAGGAGCATGCACGCACAGCTACACAACGAAGCAGTGCGTTGAGGACCAAACTAGAACCAAAATGCGCCAAACCACACTGGCCGTTTGTGAAAAGCGCGCGAGACATTAGGCTGTCACCCTCCCCCGTTGCCCCTCCCCTGGGGCCCAAGACGACGTGGAAGGGAGGGGGGGGGAGGGCGGATGGACGGTGCACGAACTCCCCGGCGTGCCTCACCTCCCCATCCTCAGGGGCGGCCACGTCTACCCACGGCAGCATCCGAGAATCCCGGGATGACCTCGGAGATGGCTGGCGACGCGATCCCTCGCGCTGGGGAGGCCTCTGGAGCGTCCAAGGTCGCGTTGGGCGACAGGCTGAGGCGGAGACATTGCGCTGCGTCTGTTAAACGATTCCGACGTGCGGACGAAAGCACGCACCCAGGCACGACGTTGGCAGCGTTAAAAGCGGCGTCGGCCCAACAATGCTTAAAATCCGCCCGACACGGGGACAGACAAAGCCAACCCTTGAACAAAAGCTTGCTGTTGAAAAAACAACGTGTGCAGACATACGATACTTGAAGAACGCGCACGTGGATCCAAAAATTATCTTTTCGCACGTGCCGTCTCCGAGTTAATATCTAGTTCCTCTGCGTTGTTGTTGGTCCCCCAACGCTTTACGTTGCAAACCTGTTTGGCACACATGATCTAGAAGACACGTTTAAAGCACCTGCTTCTACATCAATACAACGACGTCCACATCAATACAACGACGTTTCCTTCATGGCTCAAGAGGGTGGCTCAAGGCATGGTCTGGCACTGGCGCGCGCTGCCGTCGGGCGACGATTCTCTCACCATACCATACCCTTTTCCTTACCCACTTGCTGCCGCGATGCCGGCAGAGAAGCACCACATGGGGACGCCATTCGGAGGAGAGCGTAAGCAAGCTCGCCTCGATTCTCCACTGGACCAGATGGATGGCGACAACGAGGTTGGCGGAGGTGGAGGAGCAGGAAGCACTAGCCAGGAAGACATGGACGTAAAGGAGATGATGAGAGTCATGATGAAGGACATGAAGGAGATGAAACTGATGTTGACGAGGAGCGAGAGGATTGCGCAGGAGGCTATAGACGAGGCGACGTCGGCGAAACAGTCGGCGCTCAAGGCGACCTTGGACATCAGCGGCCTGGAGGACAAGTTCGAGAAGTTCCAGCAGTCGGCCGTTACGAAGGAGGACGTGACCAGGATGATCGAAGAGACGATGTCTCAATGCACTACTCCGCGCAACTTGGCTACGACGTCCAATCCATCCACAGCAACGGCCGTCGTCGGGAACGTGCCCAACGCAACGACCTTTGAGGATGCAGTGAAATGGGCATCTACTCTCTCTCTGCATGGACCATGGCCTTCCAGCCCTGGCGGCCCGGAACATGTACTGCAAGAGCGAGTTCGAGGGCGTGTTCTTCGTCAAATTTATGTCGGACGCGTCGCGCCAGATGTTCCTTGACACTGTCAACTCGTTCGCGAGAGGGCAACCGGGGGGCTTCGTGAACACTGTCTGGGCGAAGCCAGACCTCCCTTTCGACATCCGCATGCAGCACGGCGTCCTCTTCGGGCTCCGCCGGCTGCTGGCGACGTGGGGCTTCAACAAGACGTGCGTCAAGGTGAACACGGATGACTCCTCCTTGTCTGTCGCAGGGACCGTGGTGACCAAGACGGGGGTGAAGGACTACCAGCTGGAGCTGAAGTGGGTGGACCAGGAGTGGGGGAAGTGGGATGCACTGCAGTCGTCTTCAGAGCTCTCCGAGATCACCGCCGGCGCCAAGGGGAAGCTCGACAGGGCGAAGGCCTTCTTCGAGAGCAAAGGGAAGGGGAAAAGCCCTGGACTCCACTAGGGGTCACAGCGGTGTGTGGGCGAATGCGACGTTTCACCCCTCGTGGCGGAGAGCGGCGAGGAGGCGGACCTGTGCGAAGATGCGGGCCGCCACAGTTTTGACAGTTTTGTGAGGATTTGCTCGTGGAATGTTGAGGGAACGACGGATTTAAAGGAGGACGAAATTTGCAGATATATGCGCGCGAATGCCATCGATATTGTATGTATGCAGGAGACGCACCGGCCAAACTCTGACCACTACGACACAGAGGACGGATATCTGGTGATCCTGTCGGGCAGTGCTGGGGTCCACCGCGGATCAGCCGGAGTGGGTTTTGTAATCGCTCCACAGATGAGGCGTAGAATTTGCGGCTACTGGCAGTTAGACAACCGAATTGCTACGATTAAGATCAGCACAGTTTATGGTAAGATTACGCTGTGTACTGTTTACGCTCCACACAACGAGAAACCCACAGAGGAAAAGCTTGACTTCTACGATCGTCTTCAGCGCCACGCTGTCGGATTATCACAGTATGGTCCTAGATATTTCTTCGGGGATTGGAATGCGAGGCTCGGCAAAAGACGTGCTGGGGAGGAGGACATCATGGGCGAGCACACGTTTGGGCGCGAGGCTAAGAGAAAGGTTGACCTTCCCAACCGGGACTTGTTTACAGAATTCTGCATGGACCTCCAGCTCCTCGTGGCGAACCCGCTGAAACACACCCCGGCCGATCAGACAGCGACGTACCATGAACCATCAGTTCGGCCTGGCAGTCCAATCAACGACGTCGGCTTCAATGTCTTGGATTATTTGGTTATTCCTGCTGCTCGCGAGCAGAACCTGGGAGATATTCGAAGCGACACCTCTGCTACTCTAGCTTCACATCATTTCCCTGTGCTGGCAACCATTGTGGCGGGCGCGCCAGAGACCTCTGAGCGCCGGCCAGCAAACCGGCGGAAGAATTGGGTCACCCTGCAATCGCCATCTGGGAGACGAGAGCTCACGAAAGAAGTTGGACGTCGCATGGAAGAGTCCGCAGGCGAACATAGTTTGACGCTGAGTTGGAAGACGGCGTCTGCGTCTGTCATGGCGGCCGTGGACACCACCGTGCCAGATTCCATGCGCAAGCCGAACAAACCCTGGATCTCAGAGCGTACGCTGGCACTCATCACCCAGAGACGCCAGGCGCGAACTGCAGGCGATTGGGGCGCCGAGCTGCCACTGAGAAAGTCCGTGAAGCAGTCGGCCAAGCAAGATCGCAGTACGTGGCTCGAGAATCTGACAGCTACAGGAGACTGGAGTTGCGTCAACAAAATATCAAAACGCAAGGGCCGGCCGCAAGGGCGACTTCACAATCGAAACGAAGACCCGGTTGCGACAGACGAGCGTGCGGAGACATTCGCGGAGCACCTCCGCAATATCCAGTGGTACGTGCGCCCTACAACTCTGACGCCAGACACAGACGATGCGATCTACCAGGCGTTGAACGTGAATCTGGATCGCTTTACATATGCAGAATTACGGCGTGCCTCACAGAAGTTACGCCCTGGAAGATCTTGCAAAAGAGGGGACATCCCAGTAGAAGTTTACAAAGCTCTCGCTGCTGAGCCAGGGCACTTGCAGTGGTTGCTCGACATCTGCAATACCGTGTGGGTGGAGAAAAACCTTCCGGACGATATGGTGCGAGTCTCATGTGAGCTTACTCTACAAGACGGGTGACCCAGCAAATTGCGACAACTACCGGCCCCTGTCGCTTCAATGCGTCGCCATGAAAGCATTCTCCGCCATGCTCAAGCAGAGGCTCCTGGGCGCGGGCGTGGATGAGAGATTGTGGGCGCCCCAATTTGGTTTCCGACCTGGTCGCAGCACCGAGCACGCCATCTATGTTGCCCGGAGGCGCATACAAATAGCCAGGGCGAAAAAAGGAGGGACTGTCACCCTGGTGGCGCTGGATTGGAAGAAGGCATTTGACAGTATACACATAGAGAGCCTGCTGGACGCATTGCGGCGGATTGGCGTTCCATCTGAGTTCCGGGAGATGGTCGGTGTGATGATGGAGAGAAGGATGTTCGTGGTGAGGGAATGCGACAAGCAGTCCGCTCCCAGACCCCAGCTCTCTGGGATCTCACAGGGTTGCACCCTCAGCCCGCTGCTGTTCGTCCTGGACATGACTGTGCTCTTGCACGATGCCGCCTCGAAGCTTACCGGCGGAGCAAAGGAGGCGCACGTCAAGGGCGACTTCTCCGAGTGCGTTTACGCAGACGACACGCTCTTGATCGGCTCCAATGAAGAGCACTTGAACGAGCTTCTGGGTGCCGCTGCCTCCGCGGGCAAGCGCTACGGAATGAAGTTGCATTGGGGCAAGTTTCAGGTGCTCGCAGTTCAGTCGAAGGGCGAGATATACGCCCCTGATGGTACTGCCCTCAAGCATGTGCAGCACCTACAATACCTTGGAGCACATCTGTCGGCAGATGCAGACATGGGCCACGAATTGGGCAGAAAAATCGGAGAGGCCAAAAGAAATTTCACAACGTTGCGAAAAGTCTGGTCGCATTCTTCCTGGACCTGGCCACGAAAGCTGCGAAGTTACACATGGATTGTGGAGTCTAAATTATTACATGGGCTAGCAGGGTCGTGCCTGACAAAATCGCAGCTGCGGCGGTGGGACGGCTTCCAGAACAGGTGTGTCCAGCAGATCATAGGCGTCCGACCTTCATGGATTTCGCGCGTACCGAACACAGACGTGCTGAGCCGTGCAGACCACGGCCCCAGCGAGCCAGCAACTTCTACGCCGGCAGCTCCTGCTCTTCGGTCAAGTGCTACGCGCCGATCGAGGACACCCGCTGCGGACGTGCACGTTCGCTTCCGGCTCATTGACACCACAGACAGATGCTACAACGAGGAGGGTTGGTAGGCCATACAAGGAGCTTGCCTGTGAGATGATGAAGCATTCTGCACGTATTTTTGGTAGCACAGCAGCAGCCGAGGCTGCAGCGCAAACTTGCCAATACGATCGTACTATACGGGCCCTGTTTTAATTCCACGTGCACTCCTCCTCCTCCTCCTCCTCCTCCTCCTCCTCCTCCTCCTCCTCCTCCTCCTGGTCGTCCCAGTGTGACCCACTTGCGCGCCGCTCCCGTTTGTGATGCCCTGGGCCCCCAGCGCACAAGTACAGCTTCTCACTGGCAGCCGACTGCAGGGGCCAGGCGTGCAGCCAAGGCCCAGGCTCTTCTTTAAGCCAGCGTTCATGCCCACGCACCGCTTGGTGTATGGTTGTCAGTCAGTGAGTCACAAAATATTTGTTTACTTGGTTTTGCGACTGTTTCTCGACATCACTTGTGATACATGCACGAATACAGAATACATTCAACATAGCAAACTGGGAATCATATGAAAGGCAAACTACTCCCACTCAAGCAATGCGTAAAGTCGAGGACGAGATCGTTGACCGATACAGGATTTCTAACAGGATTCGTTTCATCCATGTGATTGATAAATTTGCAGAGGGCGATGGATGAGTAGATTGATTGGAATCAAGATGGAAGGTTTGCATATGTTCATTACCATTGGAGCCCCAATCGAATAACATATTAGCGCGCACGTATGTAAGGCAATGTATCGAATTGGCAGCTGCATGAATTTGGATCAAACTGTACTCAGCGCACCAGGTGAACTGCTCTGGACTTTCTCTCAAATTAGCTTAGCGTTGGCACTTCCCTGGATCTGCAGCTGAGCAGCGGGTCCCTTGAATCATTGAGGCTAGACAAAATCGCCCACACCAAGATTCGCAACAGGTAGCCCAGCATCCCGCCGAGCGACCTGACCACTCCACACAGAGATCCGGCAATCTTGGTGGAAGGCCACTTGTTGTATCATTCAAGAGGCCTGCAACCGCCCTTGGTGGAGCAAAGCGTCCGCAAAACACGCTGGAGTTGGATTCGGGCCGCGGTACCTCAAGTTCCCGGACAACAACACCCAGCTAGGCATGATTTAAGAGGCCGCAGCCACGGGGGCCTAACGGCAAAGGGACGTCGACAGGCGACTGTGTCAGATGGCAGCCGGTCAACCCCACCGATGTCTGAGACATGACCATGAAGGAATGATGGCACAGATCCACGGCGATAGGCAACCACACGGTCACCCAAACGCAATACTTGGGACCGCACAGGGCCGGTGGATACACAAACCATAGGCTGACAGGACCCTCGTGGCAGCCGCATCATGAGCAAGATGGGAATACCATCGCCTAAAAAGCCTTTGAAGAATTGAAGATTACGGTCATTACCCCGAAACCAGGGAAGTTAAGTTGTGGATGGCCGCGGCTGCACAGACAACGCCATCCTGCGAGACAACACTTATGATCAGCTGCCGGCGACATGACACGAGATGCAAAGCACAACCGTCCAGCATTATGATGCGGTTTCGAACGATGTCGCCCCGCTCCCAGCCTAGAACTGAGGTTGTCCAAACGCGTGTTCAACTTTCTGTTCATAATGATCAACCTGTTACTCATAGCAATCAGGCTGTTGTTCGTAGTAACCAGACTATTGTTCATAGAAACCAGGAGGGGCAATGATGACGTCAAGTGCGACAGCTCCCGCTACACCACCTGCAGATGTAGATGTGGCGGCATACATGGCTACTTATTGCGTTTGCGCGGCGTCAAATCAGGGCGGCGCTCTGCGCCCCGACGCAAGCCAAGCAGGAGCAGGCGCGCTCGTCTCCGAACCCGGAGCACACGATAGGCACCAAGTGATACAAGACGCACACTGCAGCGAACGGGAAGGGGCAGAGCGAGAGAGGAGACAACAGACGATAAGAAGAAAATAGGAATAATAATAATAATAGCAATAATAAACAACAACAACAACAACAACAACAACAACAACAACAACAACAACAACAACAACAACAACAACAACAACAACAACAACAACAACAACAACAACAACAACCACAACCACAACAACAAC